AGCACGCGCGATAACCGCTCGATTTTTTCCCTTTTTTCTATTCATCGCGAGGCAGGAATGTTATTTTCCGCAACCCCTCAATTTGACAGGTCATTTTCGTTGGATTTTTTTATCGGAGGAAGAATGCGGCAAAAAATTCCAGCCCAAACCCATTTCTGATTAAATTCAAATTAGATTTGTTGTATTAAAAAATTCGATAAAAAATAACCACTTGCCAAAAATTCTGAAATTTCAATATACATATTTTTCAAAAAAAAAAAAAAATAAAATTTTTATAAACATTTTAAAATCTTAAAAATTATTGATTGTAATTTGCAACCTTTTTCTTAATTGAGGAATCTAGGAATGAACTTTCTACCCTTTGTATTTCGTCACTCATGCAAACCTATTTCTGATTAAATTCAAATTAGATTTGTTGTATTAAAAAATTCGATAAAAAATAACCACTTGCCAAAAATTCTGAAATTTCAATATACATATTTAAAAAAAAAAAATTTTTTTTTGAAACATTTTAAAATCTTAAAAATTATTGATCATAATTTGCGACCTTTTTCTTAATTGAGGAATCCAGGAATGAACTTTCTACCCTTTGTATTTCGTCAGTCATGCAAACCTATTTCTGATTAAATTCAAATTAGATTTGTTATATTAAAAAATTCGATAAAAAATAACCACTTGCCAAAAATTCTGAAATTTCAATATACATATTTAAAAAAAAAAAAATTTTTTTTTAAACATTTTAAAATCTTAAAAATTATTGATCGTAATTTGCAACCTTTTTCTTAATTGAGGGATCCAGGAATGAACTTTCTACCCTTTGTATTTCGTCACTCATGCAAACCTATTTCTGATTAAATTCAAATTAGATTTGTTGTATTAAAAAATTCGATAAAAAGTAACCACTTGCCAAAAATTCTGAAGTTTCAATATACAAAAAAAAATTTTTTTTTTAAACATTTTAAAATCTTAAAAATTATTGATCGTAATTTGCGACCTTTTTCTTAATTGAGGGATCCAGGAATGAACTTTCTACCCTTTGTATTTCGTCAGTCATGAAGTTAAGAGGGTTTTAAGAAGGATCTCTTCGCGAGGGCGGAATGCGCAAAGGGTGAAGAATATTTGCGGTGAGGACAATTATAAGCGACATTTATTTTTGATCGCTTGATACAAGAGAAAAAGAGAGAGAGAGAGAGATGAGAGGAGCGTGTGCAGGGCCGTGGATACATAAATGGAAGATGTAGGTGTGTAAAGCGGTCAAGGACTAATGAGCAGGTGAGCCGGGAAAATAGGTGAAACGAGCCGGAGCACAGGCTCACTAATCAAGAAATATCCTTTATCCGATCGATCGACTGACGTTTCGTCCGTCTGATCAATTGTGGTCATCGGTAACAATCGGCCAAATGAGATCTCTCTTTCCCTCTTATTTTCGCGCCTTTCAACAGTATTAATATCGTCGGGGTGTCTAGCGAAACAAGGTTAAGAAATTCAAAGACATTTCCAGGATTTCCAGGACAAAAAAGTATTTTTTCCAGGAATTTTTTTATTAATTAAAAGCATATGAAAGTTGATTAGAAACAAAAACATAAATTATATATATATATATATATATATCTCTTTTTATTTAAGATTTAATTAAATAATTAAATTAACTTAAACTTTGGTACTTTTGTTGCTTGTGAAAGGTACAGTAATTTTTCGAGATCATAAGAATTATTAAATGTAACATAAATAATTATTTGATTAAATTTTTTAATTTTTGAACCTCCTTATCAATTAAATCAGATTCTTCTTTAGCATTTGATAAGAGCTTTTTCTTCTGTATTTGTAATTCCTCTGTCAACAAATCGCGATTGAGATTAAAAGAAAAGTATAGATATCTGCATTGAAAATTCCTGTAAAAATATTTTTATACAAACATTAACATTTTCAAGGATAAGTAAGAAAAATTCAGGATATAATAAAAAAAATACACATTATTCCAGGATTTTCAGGACATAAAAAAAATCAAGGACAATTCCAGGATTTTAAGGATTTCCAAGACCGCTCGACACCCTGATCGTCCTTTGCATCCCTTGATTCGATGATTTTTCTAAACCCGACGCAAAGTGTTTCTGACTTCGACAATTATCACTAATCGCGCAATCGCGTTAAAATGGATATCATTTACTGTAATTAAAGTTATCATCTCTCTCGTCCCATTTCCAGAATATTACGGACAGATGAAAATGTCTGTTATATAATTTTAATCATCGTCCAAAATCATCCAACTTGTAATAAAGTTGGACGAATCATTCCTATCGCAATGATATTTTTGCACGAGTCCAAAAATGGCAGAAATTTAATACCTTTTCACACACATTTACTTAAATATTCTACTATTTTATAAATTTTATATTATAAAATAATGTATGTAAAAAGAAATTTTAAGGTATCAAAAAATCATAAGATTTAGAAAATGTTTCATAAATTACCGATATGTTTTCCTATATACAATGTTCATTTTGATACTATATATGCACTTTCACGATTTTTGTTTCGGCATAAATAACAAGATTAAATGGTATAAAAAATAAATTTCGCATTTATCAAAAGCGCGACAAACAATATCGACCACTTCGACGCATCGCGATGCGTGAATGTTATTACAGGCGTTTGACCAACCCGGCAATATCCGGTGCAATAGAGAGTCCTAAATACCCGTGTAAAAGCCCCTCGGTCTGCTTGTAAAACAATACCTTCATCGATAGTTTCGAATTCATGTCGCAAGCTACGTTCGTATGGCGGCAAAAAAAATTCCGGTGTGCGCATTCGTGCTTTTTTTTTAAGATTCGATACATCTGCACACGTATTGTGATAAAACTTGTAGCGAGGAAAATTTCTAGCGATGAAAAATTCTTAGTGTATACGTAATAACTTTTTAAATTGTTATTTTAGCATTTCACTAGATGATTTTTATATAAAAGAGCGATAATGTATAATTATTGGTTGCACATATCGCTACTTAAACAAATAATGTAATTGTAAATTAATCATATGTAATGTATAATAATCATTAATTAATTAATGAATTATTAATAATCATATTAATTATGCGTATATGATTTCCTCTCTGATAAAACGCGAGTATATCGATTTTTTTCAAAATTATTGTACATGAAATATTATCCTCTTTTTATACTTTGTGTAAAATATAGTTTTATTTCTTGTCTTATCAAAAAAATTTCAAATTTATTCGAAAATTTCTTTGAATAAAAAAAATATTTTATAAGAAAAAATGTTTAATTAATCTTTCATGCATCTTTGCATATAAAATTAAAAAAAATGAAAAAGATTTATACATAGTACGACTAAAATTTAAATTATTCTGTATTCCTTGACATTTTTTATTCCTACTTTTTTCAAAGTTTGTATTACATATGATGATAATACTATAAAATAGTTTTATTAATTATTGTTAAAAATCTCAAATTTATTCAAAAATTTTTTAAATAAGAAAATAGGAAAAAATTTAATATAAATCTTTCATACAACTTTCTTTGCATATAAAATTAAAAAAAAAAAGATGAAAAAGATGGAATTTATATATACAGTACGATAAGATTTCAATTGCTCCGACTATTTCTTGCTTCGATTCTCCAAGTTTGTACTATAGAAGATGACATAATTTATAAAATAGTTTTATCAATTATCTTATCAGAAAAAAATCTCAATTTATTCGAAAATCTGAATAAAAAAAGTACTTAATCAATCTTTCTTTGCATATAAAATTTGCAAAATAAAATAGAAGAATTTATATACGCATAACGATCGAGAGATTTCAATCACACTATTTCTTGATAGTACTCCAAGTTTGTATCACAAATTATATAATTTAAAAAATAGTTTTATTAATTATGTATCTTGTCAAAAAATCTGTGTATTTAAGAATCTGTGTGTGATTGAATATAAAAAAATAATTAATTAATCTTTCTCTGCACATATAAAATTTAAAAAATAATGATAAAAATGGAATTTATAAATGTTCAATGATCGAGATTTTAATTGCTCCATTTCTTATTATTACTCCAAGTTTATAGCACATAAGATTATAAAATTTTAAATAATTTTATTAATTACCATATCAGAAAAATCTCAATTTATATTCAAAAATCTCTTTAAATGAAAAACAAAATATTTTATACATTATATATAATTAATATTGTATTATATATTATATATATATAATTATAAATATATTATATAATTAATCTTTATATATAATATACGATCAAGATTTTAATCACACTATTCTCAATCCTACTCTCCAAACTTGTACGACCATAATTTAATTGTTCTACTTAATTCTTCAATACAAAACATCGTTTTATGTAAAAAAAATATAAAATCCCTATATATATATATATAATTAATATTTTATTATATTATATATATATATATATATATATATATAATATAATATATTATATATGTATATAATTAATCTTTATATACGATCAAGACTTCAATCATATTCTCGATTCTACTTTCCAAACTTGTACGACCACATAATTTACTTGTTCCACTTAATTCTTAAATATGAAATATCGTTTTATATAAAAAATTAAAAAATAATAATAATAAAAAATAGATTGACGACACATACCTCATAATCTCATGATCCCGATTCTACTTTCCAAACTTGTACGACCACATAATTTACTTGTTCCACTTAATTCTTAAATATGAAATATCCTTTTATATAAAAAAAATAAAAAATGCTCACATATATATATATATATATATATATATATATATAAAATAATATTTTATATATATTATATTATATACGTATATAATTAATCTCTATACACGATCAAGATTTTCAATCACATTATTCTCGCTCCTACTCTCCAAACTTGTACGCGCGACCACATAATTTACTTGTTCCACTTAATTCTTAAAAATACGAAACATCGTTTTATATATAAAAAAAAAAAAAAAAATACATTGACGACACATACCTCATAATCTCATGATCCTGTTCCTCCTCCTCCTTTTGGCGCATTATAACACCCTCTATGATGCGCCTCTCCTCGGGGGTGAGGTGCGACATGTCGGGCTGAGGTAGCTCCGCCATCGCGATGGCGGTGTAAGAAGCGCGTGCACGGGGTATGCGACGTGGGTATGACGCGGGTCAGGCCGGCGCACCACCGACGACGTCGACGTCGACGGGACGTCGTCGCCGTAATAATAATAATAATAATAATAATAATAATAATACCAGCGACCGGATTGCCCACGCACTTCCTCCCTCCTCCGCGCTTCTCGTCTACGACGACGACTCCTCTCGTCGTCGAGAGGAACCCGGGATACGCGCGGCAACGACCTTCTTCTTCTTCTTCCTCTACGACTACTACGAAGCGCGGCCCTCGTCCTGGGGAAGTCATCCGACACCCGTTGACCGCACCACCGCACCGCGACGCGGAAACGCGAACGCGCCTGAGTTACGTCGCCGTCGTCGTCCTCGTCGTCGTCCTCCTCGTCGTTGCTCCTGCTGCTGCTGCTGCTGCTCTTGTTGCACCACCACCACCACCACCGTCGAACGTTGCACTCGCGAGCAATCGCGACGCGACACCACCTCCGTCGTGGTGGTCGATGACTTCTCTGGGATGACCTCCTCCGCGCTAGGGGATGACGAGAACAGGTGACGTCGGTCCCTGGATTCGTCTACGGTGCTCCGATCTGGGACTGCACTGCAGTGGGGCAGTAGAAGTCGGGCTGGTCTCATACGAGCACAAGGCTTGCTCGCGTCGTCATCCCTCTCCTCTTTATCGTCGTTGTCGTTGTCGTCGTCGTCGTCGTCGTCGTCGTCCTCGTCGTCGTCGGTGTCTCTCGTCGTACGATTACCGCCCGTCGCATGTGTATGACAAATCATGTTCACAGGCTGTGAGGAGGCTCTCGCATTCTCTCTTGCGGCCCGGCCTCACGCACTGCGCTGCCCAAATGCACCATCCGACCTGGGAATGCACCTTCTCCGACCTAGGAGGAACGATCTTCGGATCCCTCGTCGACGTCCCTCCTCTCGGCCAGGTGGGACGATACGGGTCCTCGCTCGGTTGGATCCACCCGGACGTTCCTGGAGCGAAGGGACGAGGTTCTTCCCTGCCCGAGGGTGCGAATAACAGCTGCCAGTGGGTGCCGATCGATTGGAACGCGATTTGGATCCTCCGATCGCTAGATAATGGCTGCGTCCCCGATCCTCTTGGACACTCTCGAAAACATCGCATCGATTGAAGAGGGAAAAAACGGGTCACTGGGTTGTGCGTGTCGTCGCCGCTGATGAATACCACTTTCCTGGGTCGGGGTAGTCTTGACGCTTCAGCGCTGCAGCTGACGCCTCTCCGTTATCTTCCGACGAGGCGATGCGCCATCCCAAAACGATCCCAATAACGGGTTAACTGCTGGATCCCGTCAGGTCCGCGAGAGACATCCTCGGCGAGGGCAAAGCACGAAGGGGTCCATTCGTGTCCGGGGATCCGGTCCGATTGTCGTCCCGGGGAACTAAAGGAGAAGAAGAAGAGGGTCGCTTGAAAAATCCAGAAAATCCAAATCCCCTCGGACGACACGATTCACGTGGCAGCTCGACGCGACAATGGCGCTCCTCGGCGCGCCTCAAACGGCCGCCGCGACGCCCACACGCAGTCGATCTCGTCCCCGAACACACGGTGTTCTCACATACACATACACGCATGCATACACGCACACACATACACCTCGCACACGCGCGCGCACACACACCCACGGCGAGAGCGTTTTATTCCCAGCTGACAACGGAGGGGATTGTTCACCAGGGGTTGTGCTTTCTCTCCTATATAACGTCTCCGGGACGATCTGGACGTTATCGTCGGGGACTGGCTGGGGTCGTCTCGCGAGGGTTAAACCCTCCCTTCCTTTCTTTCTATCTACCTCTCTCTCTCTCTCTCTCTCTCTTCGTGGTGCTGCTGCTTCGCGTCGAGCCGCCCGAAAAACTTTGTGCGAAAAACGATGACCAACACTCGCAGTTTTTGCAAGCACAGGGTGAGGGAGCGCCAGAGGGTGACTGTGTGTGCGCACTGCGCGGCGCCTGGCGTCGCGACGCCGCGTTGCGGCGGCGGCGGCTCAAAGTACTACGAGACGCGTCGCCGCTTTCGCGACTCGCGCCTAGGGATGCGTCCGTCCCTCTCCCTCCCACGCGACCAGATGATGACGCGGCCACGTCGAACCCTCTTTCTCTTTCTCTCACTCTCTCTTCTTCTCTCGATATTATCCCGCCATTCTCCTCTTGCCAACCCTTTGCGCTCCTCTCTCTTCCTCGCTTTCTATATATATATATATATATATATATTATATATATATATATATATATGTAAGTATATATATATATATATATATGTACCTGGCTCGGCTGCTGGTCTCCCTTCTGACCCTTCTCTCTTTCTCCGCAGGCTTTCGCCTCTCGCGAGCCTTCCGTTGCAGCGAAGAAGAACGAGGTGAACGGGGCTAATTTCCGGTCCGCGAATCGACTTCCTGTCGGAATACTCGCGTCGACACCGAGACCGCGTTTCCTTCGCGCGAGCGGCACTTCGGAGAAGTCGCGACGTATATATTCTCTCTCGCTCCCAGAGACCTCTATCGAGAGCGGGTGGCTCTTATCGCACTTGTGTGGAACCGCAGTTGCGCGAACCGAGCTACTCTCTTTCTCTCTCCCACCCTCTTTCCGTGGATATATACGGGGTGGCTCGAAACTTCTGCGCGTGTATTTTTCACGAGGAAATTGTATCCTTAATAGCACAACATATCCAAAAGATATTCAGATGATATTCGGAGGATATCCAAAGGACATTCGAACATCTTCAAAATGTTCTCTGAACGTCTTCGGAATATATGTGCTCTGTTAGGGATTATTCAAAAATAATAATGACCATTTTAAAAGATATTACTACGGTTTTTATAATATATATAATTGTCAATTTTTGAAATTTAAAATTTCCCGCCAAACTTTCGAAATTTTCTCGCATATATAAAAACGTACGAGAGAATTTCGCTCTCTCTCCATTTAACTTTAAAATAGACTTCGTTTTAATATTCCACAGAGTTATCACTGAGATTACTAATGTAATTAAAAATTTGAAAAAGGTTATTCAAATAAATGACTCTTAATGACATTTCCACGGGTAGAAATTTAAAAAAAAGAGTCTCCCGAAGAATCTATAATAGAGAGGATATTTATAGCACCTTATATATACATCCGGCGTGTGTACGAACTTTGGTTTCGTGTAGATGCTGAAGAGGACGGGAGGGAGATGTGGGAGGTCATTGAAAGCGGAAAGACTCAAAGTATACGCGACCCCGTCTCGTTCGAGCTGGAGATTTGATTCCGCATTTCTTCGTGCAATATTAATCGACGATTAAACGCGCGGTTGTCGATCGCGATCGCCGTTTTTCGCGCAAAAACGCGCGACGAAACGACGTCCGACAAATATATTGCACCTCCGCCGCGAGCTTAATAAATAATCGGATTGCGGCGTACGTCCTGACCAATCGGCGAGCGAGACGGGACTTACGTCGCGGAAAATACCGTATTGATCGACGGACGAGCCAATCTGGCGCCAACTTCGAGAGGATCGCAATCGCGCGGCTATATTTGAAAGAGAGATCCCGTTGCATGAGATCACTTTAATATTTTAGGGAAAGGATCGATGAGATTTCTCTCATTTTTTCCAGGAAAAATTTATTTAAAAAAGAATGTTTTTATATCGTTTGTATATTTAAAGTGATCTCGTTCGCTTCGAGAGTGTAAAATAAAATTGATTTTTCTATTTTTCCTTGAATTTCGTTAATTAATTTGCGACAATACCCAGATTGATGAACTATTTTTACTATAAATCACATAAATTGTTAATTAAAGTCACTTTGTTGGAGCTGATACTCATTACATAATTAATGTAGTAGTTATATGTACTAGAGAGAGAGAGAGAGAGAAAGAGAGAAATATATATATAATATAAAATAAAAAAATATGTTAATACATAATGTAAAAATATATAATAAATAATAATATAAATTAATAATAATATGTAACAAAAATATAAATAATATTATAATATATAATATAAATATATATATATATATAATAATAATAATATATAATATATAAAAAATATGTACATATATCTTATAATTTAAAAAATTATAACCTAGATGAGGGTCGCCAAAAAGCAACTCGTGTTGCAAATTTGTCTAAAGATTTCATCGTGAAATGAATTTCATAATTTTCTAACCCTATATCAGCATTCATAAAAATATAGCGTGCACGAAACTAGTCTACATAGACGATATATATTTACTATTTACTTCGTATAATTTTACGCGAAATACTCGATAAATCACCTCCTGGGAACACCGTGAGCTCTCCAAGATCGTAGAAACTTCCGAAACGATCGGTGCGCGCCATTCCTTCGGCATTACTAAAGTTTTGTATAGTCCGGTACGTCACGTGGCACGTTTATGTTCGCATGTGAGAGTCACCCAGATTTCGTATCTTCTCCAAAGCTTCTTTTTTTCTTTATCGACGAAACTTGACGCAAAAATATCGAGAAATCTTATTATACATAATAAAATAATTGCACACAACTTTAAAATTACACAAATATTACAGCTTTAAAATTTCATTATAGAATTTAACAATATTTAATAAGTAACGTGTAAAGATAAATAAATAATTTTTATTTATCTTTACACGTTAAAGTACAATTGTATTTATAATTTTTATAATTTGCAATTCTTTTTATTTATAATCTTTTATTTATAAGTAATTTTTATTTTTAAAGATAAATAAATAATGTTTATTTATCTGTATATTTTATAGAAAACAAATTTAAAGAACCGTGTGAAATCTGAATCCCTTCTGACGTCATTGTAATCACATAATTAGTAGTAATTTGCGCTCCGTGTAATTCCCGTAATTTTATACAACCGTGATTTTATTACGCGTATATACGCGAATTTACAAATATGTAAATTAATATCGTAGTCATTGTTGATCAGCATACCAAATACATAACATACTTTAACGTGGTCGCTCGATAGAAGCCTGCGGCGCTGCATAGCGGCATATTACTACTGCGCGTCCGACCACTCGCACTCGCGCGTGACTATTGTTGACACTTACTACTCGCCCGTCAGACATGTCTCGTACATGCGGCCGATTACTACTCGCGGGATACGAAAGATGACGAAGGATGCGAAATATGTTTCTGTAAAATGGCAATTAATTTCGAAATATATTTTAATACATGCAGAGCATATCTTTCACGCTAAAAAAGCAGATTAAAAGCGTACAGTTAAAATAATTATATGTAATTAAAATAAATTAAAGCATACAAAATGTGATGTAAATTTTTTTATTCTCTTTCCTGTAGTAATTTTATATAGCATTTTTTGCTTGAATTTATATATTTTGTCATTAATTTATATGCCAAATAAATCATATTTTTAAATATATTTTTTCATATAAGTATCTATATACATTATTCACGCGATATTTAAAATTAAAGAATGACGTCTAGTTTTGCACATTATATAAAATACAACACAAATACATCACATTGAGCATCTATAGAACAAGTCTTTATATTAATAATTTACATGAAATTCTTTACATTAAGAGCACGTAGCAACTATTTTGGAAAAATGTTCTTCTATTCGCTAGTAATATTGCACAAAAATATAATAGATAAGTGTCACTTTTAAAAATAGTAAAATTACTTGCACGTAAATTACTAATAGTAAAATTACTTGTACGTAAATTATTATATACATATATAATATTGATCGAATTAATTTATTTTATAAATAAATATATTTAAAAAATATGTTCAGATTATAGAATAGATATAATCAAAACTTATTTTTTATAATATCTAAGAAAACTTATTAATGTATATAATTTTTCGATGCATATTACATACATAAATAATTAAATGTTTGGCACATATCTTAGTAATATTATATATAAAAAAAAACATAATAATATAGTCTAACATATCCATATTAAAAATATAAAAGATACAGATATAAAAAATAGAAATAGAGAACATATAGATCTATAAAAAGTTTTGACATTTTTAAAAATTTTCTATTTTTTTTTTTGATAATTTTTATAATATAGAAATAATCGAGTATTACTGAATAAACAGCATTTGTAAATTTGATTATGCCAGAAATATGATTTTCAAAAAATAAAAGGAAAATGTAGAAAATTTTTCAGATTTCAAAACTTTTACATTAATCGATCACAAACTATACATTTTTGCATTGTTCTTTATATTTCATTATTAATCTCATATAATTAGAAAACAAAATTTATATGTAATATATCTCTTGTATAAAAGAATACATTCCATATGTAGAAATTCTGTATTAAACATCTATCAAATTATACTTTTACCTCAAAAAAAGTTGACTTATAAAAATATTTTTGAAAATAAATTAAAAATTGAATTGCTCTTTATAACAATCTTTTTCAAATATACAAAAATTATTATATAAGAAATTAATTTTTATGTTCAATAAATGTATAAGATAAATTTATACTTTCAGTTTTATAAATATGAAAGTGTATTGTATATGTCGCAACAGCAACATTTTATATGTTGATATCCTTAGTGGTTTTTACATGATGTTTAAAATATCACAATTAAAAACTATGAATGAAAATAATAAATAAAGTAACAAATAAAATATAATATACTATTATGTACACAATATGTGCCATTATCATATTATGTATATAGACAGATAGGCGTGATGTTTGCTAGATCGATTGTAAAATAGCTAATTATAGAGATTTTTTACAAAGTATCTATACATATAATGAAATATAAAGATACATCAATTGTTTCCCCTTATTTATACGAATATTATAATTAATTTTGCTTGTGTTGATAAAAATTATGTTATCTTCCTAATTTTATCTTAAATATATACATTATTTTGATTCCATACAATACACTCCTTTCTCTCCATTACACACAATTTATATATGTAATACACACACACACACATATATATATATATATATATGTGTGTATTTATATATATATGTATGCATATATATATATGTATGTATATATAACATGTGTGTAATATAAATTCTTATATACTACTAATCACGGCAGTATAATTCAATTATATACTGTATTATAAAATATACTATATTGTAGAATATAGTATATTAAAATATAGTATATTGATTATATTTACAAAATGTTCTTTTCTTTTGGAACACTAAATCAGATTGTAACAATGATTATACTTAAAGAAGAAAAAGCACACATACATTTTGTAAAATGCCTTGTATAATAGTTCAGAATTGCATAAAATTGTAAAGTCATATAAATCTTAGTCTACAATACCTACACAAAAATTCTATACATGCTTCCTCTTCATATAAATTTGAAACATTTTTGCTTGTCATGTGGTATTCGTGTCTTGAATAATATAGAATCTGCTCGAAATTGTGTATTCAATAGAGGCATATATCCGAAAACCTAAGATCATCAATCATGAATAATGTGCACAAATTATTGTCTCAACTTACTTATATATTTAATAATTAAAAATTTGTTGTTTACCTGCGAGAAGAAATTGATACATTTATGTCTC